TAGCACCCTCTAGTGGATGGCACCAATATTACAACACTGAAAGGAATTATCCCCTTAGCAGAAAATAGTTTATTCAAGTATACTAAAAGTGCACTAATTTCATACTTAAATCAGGCAGTGCACTTAAAGTTTACTTATTCTAAACTATATTTCATATACTTAACAATAGTTTAGTCCAGTGTACTTGACTATACTATTGTTTACTTTATTGTTTACTAAAGTATACTTTAAGTATACTTTAGTAAACTTAGAAATGTCCCAATTTAGTTCGAAGAAGTATTACTTTTGTAATACTTCAAGTACACTAAAAGTACATTGTTCGATATACTTTCTAAACTTATACTTAAGTATTCTTAACTACTTTGAATCAAACTAAATACTATTTTTTGCTAAGGGTCATCATTATTAATCGGATGGAAGAAGTTTCAGTCTAATAAACCATTAATTGACAATTAACCATAAGTTGATGGTTTACTTCAGGGGTATTTAACATTTTACAGGACAAGGACTGTAAATGGAGAGGGGACCCCATAATTTTATATATATTGTATGAAATTGGAGTAATTTAACAAAATTAATTTCTTCCTGGGATTATTAAAGTATTTCTCATTCTGATTCCTCGTTAATGGGACAGGTGTTGTGAATGAAACGGTGCCCAGCTTGAAAGAGCTCCTGTGTGTCTCTGAATGTGAGCATTGATGACTGAAAGACATCTTCTGCCTCCATTTATCTGTTTACTACAGTCTGTTGAATTCATGTTAATGTGAATTTAAAGACATTTCAATTAGTGAAAAAAATTGCAGGGGGGAATATAAAAAAAGGCTAATCAACCAAAACTTTTGCGACCCCCATGCAGTACCTCCGTGGACCCCCTGTTGAAGACCTTCGATTTACTTAAATCCTTAATAAAGACCTGTTGGAAGTCTCTTCACACCAACTCAATCAGATTTAATTTAGCAGTTACACCTTCATCCTCCTTTTGAGTCATCAGGCAGTGAAGCTTCTGAAAATCTAATTTTGAATAACCTGAGTATACCTCAACATCATGGTTATTGTTAATGTATTAACAATACATTAACAATAGCTATATTAGCTATTCTTTATTCTGTTTATATGTCTAATTTGTCTGCAAATTGCTTTTAAGAGCAAAACCTACTTGGTAATAAATCTGATTCTGATACATATTGTTTGTTTTAACTTTTCTTTTATTTCCTCTATACATTTATACTTAAGGTCTGTGTTTCACACTGCGAGTGTGAAACACAAAGTCATGTTTGTGCACACAATCCTGGCCAGTAAAGCTGCTACGGTAATTAAAAATATTTCATTCATGTGATGATTACCTCTTTAAAATGAAAACTTTGAAAGTTTGCTGGTCTTAGGCATACAGATGTTTGTTAAGGCAGAGGCAATACGATTAAATATCAGCAGTTTTTATTGACAAATGTTGCTGTTTATTTATCTCAGTTAAGTTGGGTTACAGGGCTGTTTCCAAACTATTTAAAGTAAATATTTCATAAGAATTATAAATTATTATTATTATATAGTATGATTTTTATATATATATCATACATATCTAATAAGAATTTTTATAAATGCCCTAGACACATGCCGGCCACCAGGTGGCAGTAAAGCAGCCGTGAAGACGAATCGTACAACAGGGACCTCCAGTCCAGTAGGTGGCAGTCAGGCGCTGAAACAGAATTAGTTGTACACAGACAGAGGCATCATGGCGGACGTGTTGGATCTTCATGAGGCGGGAGGCGAAGACTTTCCTATGGATGAGGATGGTGATGGTGATTATATTATTAAGCCTTTAATGGAAGGTGGTTCGTTGGCTCAGCGCACTGCGTATAAGTCAAAATTGAGTTTTGATTGTCCGCGGACCCGGAAAACTGGCAAAGAAAAGCTACGCTGCGTGTTAGCAGGCCTGAGCTAAGCTAACAAAGCTAATTGTTATCCATGCAAACGCTCTGCGCGTGTTTAGCTGCCTAGTCTGGCAAATGCTCTTCCCATACATAAAGACAAAAAATTAAAATATATTTTCAGGACTTAAAATATTTCTTGCGTGTTGTTTTTTCAACCTAGTTATACAAATTGGTTCCTGGCTAACACGAAATCGACCAAAAGCGCACTCGTGATGTCGCTCTTCGGGTTTGTTAAATAAAATGAATGAAGCTGAAACACGTTTGGTCTCTAAAATTAATATTTAAAACGTTAAAACTACTTTAAATATAAATAAGGGCCATATGTAATACATTTACCGACTATTTTGGCGTTACTGATAAATTGTGTATTTTTATCAAGTTGTAAACAGTTTTTCTCAGTTATCTGCTATCTATAATACATTTCTGTGGATTTTAAAGTGTCACCCAATCAGACTTTTATCTGCATTCCTGCAGTTTTCCAGATTTCCAATGATGAAACCTGTTTTTAAAACCTGTTTTGGTTTAGAGATGATCTCCCTTCATCAGATGGTTCAGTTACTGTTTTGCTAACTGCTCATATACATCCAACAACTTTACCTACATTATATTAGAACATTAACAGCATAAAAAGTTACAGCTTGAAGTAGCTTTTGAAACCAGTACTGAACACAATTTACTTTCATGGTGGATTTTTCTTGGATAAATCTACTCGGTGAGTCCCTGAGAAAACAATATTACTCCTAAAATGATAGAAAAGATAAAATACTACAGGTGCAGAAATGTGCAGCATCCTCATAGAGCTGGATGATGATGTGACCAAAATGTACTCGCTAAAAACTTCTTCCCTAATTATATGTATTTCTAACATCCATCTGATGTAAACAACATAAAAGTATCAGTAAAGACTGCCAGGTACTGCCTAAATAAAATCTGCAGCTACTTGTCTTCTTCCTTTTTTTTTTCCCCCAGCACTTATTGTTATTACAGTGTCACGAGTACAGAGCAACGAAATTCACTCTGCATTTAACCCATCTCCTTGGGGAGCAGTGGGAGTGGGGCTCGACCTTAGAACATCTGGATTATTGCTCCAACACTAGGCCACCACTCCCCCTGTTACTATAATATGGTTAATAATAATTTACTGTAAATAGTAGCTTATTATATAACCATTTTTAACTCCTCCAATATATTATTTAAAGTATATATGCTTTAAAAAAAACAAGACACATAAAACTTTCAGTTTATTTATATTGCAGCCAAACAGGAACAGACCAGATGAAGCTACTATGAGAAAAAGCAGAGAGAGCAGAACGTTAGAGATTGAACTAACAGATTCTGCAGAGTGTCTGTGTGAAGTGCTGTAATCAAAGACTGTAATTTGTATTGAAATGTCAGAAACGTCATCACTAACTGCATAAGATTATATTGTGATATGTGTTGATTTTGGATTTTTTTTCACCCCCTATGTCCTCAAATCTAATACTGTTTCGCTTTTAGAAGAAAATTAAAAGGAATCAGTCTGTTAAAGATTTTGTGTCTAAAGCAACATTTGGTATCAGGCTTTTGGCTAGTAATATTTCATAGGCTGTTAACCTTGGAGTATCACATCTTTGGGCCTTACGCCTCATAGGGAAAATCCCCAGAAAGAATTTTAAATTTAGCCTCTCTGAGGCGCTATTTCCTGCGTTTTGAGGTGTAATGCAGGCAACTTTTTGTCTTTGTTCCAGCACTTCTTTTGTCCTGATTATGGGAAGTATGTGTGCTTGACTTAAGGTGGAAAATTCATAAAGAAGACATGAGATAATTTTTAGATACAATATTATGTTTAATAGGTTAATTCAATCAGTAAGTATAATGCTACGTTCATACTGCACGCCATTAAAAAGGGCATCTAAACATGAAAAATATTTTTTTTTAAAGTAGTTTTGATATATTTTTAAGCGAGAAAGTCCACCTGAAACCATCATCTGCACTCAGGTCATCCAGATTACGGCCCTGCCTTAAAATATTATTTTGAAGACGCTTAGACCCCCACATACCTGCATGCGCTGTCCCTGGGAACCCCCAGCTGCAGCAGCCTCAGGCTCTGTCATATTTTGAGGGTTTTCCCCCCATTATTGATGGCGGCTGGAAGTAGATGTTAGCGTTTTCATTTAGGCGTTAATGATTATTGGAAACAGCTCCAGGAAAATCTTAAGACCTTATGTAGAAGTTGCATTCCTTCACAGTGGTCAAGTTTTAATACAGAAAGAGAAAGAAGCTGCGGTTTGGGTGAATTATAACATCCTTACATGCCTAAAGAAGCCAGAATTGTGATTGATGGTCAAGCATAAAGCTTAAACAACTTATTGTTCTGTTGAAATAAAAATAAAGATCTTTTTAGCCTCAATCACCTTTAACCTTTTCTAACGTTCTTTCCACAGAAAGCATCCATAAGCTGAAAGAGAAGGCCAAGAAGAGAAAAGGACGAGGCTTCGGCTTAGGTAAAGCCCTCCGATCACGTTAATTAGATCTCCTGGAAAATACATTATTTGGCGTTTTATTAAAACAAAAATCGTTGTGTTACAGAGGAGGGGTCCAGGTCCAGAGCTAAAGAGGACTACGATACGGTGGAGCAAGACGGCGATGAACCGGGTCCTCAGAGATGTAAGAGCTTTAATTCTTCCCCTGCAGATGCTCTGAGAGATTTCAGTTTAATTATCCGGTGTTTGGTTTCATTCCTTCTTGACTGGCAGCGTGTTTGACTCCAGACACATTCAGTTCAGTTTATTTATATAGTGCCAATTTTAAAGCACTTTACAAACAAATCCGATCACCCGGTCAGACATGTTCTATATAAGGACTGTTAGTTAAAACAGTGTCGAAATCTGTCCGAGTAACACAGATAACTGTTGAGTGTAAATGGAACGCAACTGAACGGTTGGGGGGGGGGGCAACTTCCGGGGACTTTGTCTGTTCTCGTTCTTCTTGTTTTTGTTGAACTGGAACAGTACTAGGGCTGAGGCTGAGGACGTTTCACGAGAACGCACAAGTACACAGATTGAGAAACAGCCAGAAACAAAGTCCATCCGAGGCTGTTTTATGCCTCGTACTGTGGGACTAAGCCTAACTTCCTGTTGTCGATCTATTTGTGAAAAAAAATGTTGTTCATTGTTTGCAACGGTCTACAAACTTAAAGGGATAGTTCGGTATTTTTGACATGAATCTGTATGGCATCCCCATCACCAGTGTCATGCAAT